GTTACGTGTGTTTTATCTCCTTGTGTCCCATGGAGCCGTAATTCCATGAAATTTCCGTAAAAGTTACTAGTTATTACTAGTAAGACTTTTTTTAATTTTATTTATTTAACTAAATTTGACGATTTAATTAAAATTTTTGTTAAAATTATAATATATTCTGTAGTTTTCCTATGAATAAAATACAAATAAACAATTATAATCTGTTAAATAAAAAATTGTAATACCGTTACGTGTGTATTTACGGCTCCATGGGACACAAGGAGAAAAAACACACGTAACGTTACGGACGCAACCCCTAGTAACTTTTGCGGACTTTCGGTGCGGATTACGGATTACGGGTTCTATGTGACGCCGGCCTAAGAGTAAGGAGACATAACTAGATAGCGTATAGAGAAAAAAGTTGGTCACGAAAAATGTTCCACGAAGGAGGAGGTTTGCCGAATGGAATAACTTGCAACATTTCGTCGCCATCTTAAATCTGTTCTTTTTAGCTGTACCATGAGGAACATGAACTGAACTGACTGCACTCACTCTCATCGGTTGTGAAAAACATAAATATGAATTTACTAAAAATATTATTCGCTTTTATTTAATAACACGGATGTTTTTTTTGATCAAGCAAGCGAACAAAAATAATAATGCTGAAAGAGAAAAAACAAAAGAAAAAGGAAATCTTCCAAATTAGTTCAATTAAATATTCCAAATGCTACAAATATGCATTCTCAAATAATTAATGAAACAAATACGGTTGAAACTGTAATACAAATAAAAACAAATGCAAAAAGGCGTAAAATTGAAATAACTTTTTGTAAAAAACAATAGCGTAAAAAGTAAGCGTTAAACTTTATATATATTTTATATACTTACTTTTATATTTTATAAAAATGTTTATTTTATAAAATAAAAAATAATTTACTTTTTAATACAATTTATTGTCATATTTACAATTCCAATCTCTATTTTTATAAAATTAAAATTTATATATATATATATATACATAATTTGTAATATAGATAAAAAGACTAATATGCTTTCACGATAATAATTTCAAGATATAATAATCTTCTAATATCTAATTTAAATTAAAATTATACAAAATATTTATTATATGCAATACAAATGCTTAAACTATTGTTTGATTTTATAATATTGTATT